AAAGAATTCTCTTTTCAGAGGTACCGCTCTTGGGAGGTTTTACTGTATATACTACAAACATATAATAATTTAAGATATTAAAAAACATAAAAAACTATTACAATAACCACAAAGGTATATATTGTAAAAGTATTTCTAATTATATCTTAACAAACAAAAAAGTTTTACTTAACCGTTATTTTTTTACACTTTTATATTGACCAAAATCAATAATTTTGTGGTTGAGTTTAGTAAAATTGTAATATAAATATCAGGCCATAACTCCGATTTACAAATGATGTTCTTATTCTTGTTAATTATACTTTCGGCTGCAAAATACAAAGTTTATAATGTGTCTCTTGATAATCCAACTATTAACACTAACGAACTTTATCAGAGAGATAAATGCACCACTTGTTGCAGAATTTTAATTGCATCTTCATGGAACTATGATCATAATAAATTGTTCACTAACGAAGATTATAAAAACAACAATGGACGAATTTTTGTTATGGACATGGAATTTGACTATATTGATGAAATCAGAGAACCAACCGTTTTTTATGAACAAGCGATACATTTGAGACCATTTATTAAAAACAGAGATTTTCAATTTTTTGAATTTGCACCTTATAAAATGTTTATTTCATTTGTTTATCCAAAAAGAGTTCATGACATTAGAGCTGGAGCAAATGTTGGTTCTAGACTTATAATTTGGTCTAAAAATCCGCCACTTTCAGATGCTCCAGGCACCCAAAATCAAAGATTTATATATGTCCACCCATATGACACAGAGTACTACGTATCAGACTTTGAAAGGAAATGGAGAAAATACAAAAACCATTTCTTTTTACCTTTTTATAATCAGACTGATTTGTGTTATGAGGGATGTGTAAATGATTTTACCGATGAAGGATGGGCAGGACAGAAACAATTCAAAAACAAACCTGATTTACACCAAATAAAAACCGTCAATTGTGATCAGTATTCAGTGAAACAAATGTTTACTCCAATATTTGCTTAACCAATACGGGTGTTTATTTTTTATTATGACATAAACATTTATTAAAATTTTTAAAGTGGTTTGTAAGTGTTTTAAAAAAATATTAAAAATATCATTGTTTAATTGTTTAATATTATATTAATATAACACAAAAAGTTGTGTTATATCATGGTTAGACGAATAATTCATTAAAGCTATTATCTATAATAAAAATTATGTTAAAAAAATAATCAAATATTTTTTTTGTCTAACCATGGTTATATTCAAAAATGATTATGACCAATTATAAAACTTCGAAGATTTTTTTGACATTTAAATAATATAAACGTCTAGTATTTTTTCGGTTGTATGATGTTTTAAATTTTGATTATTATAAATAATTAAAAGATTGGTAAAGGAAAATAAACATATTAAAAAATTTTATGGACTGTTCAAAATAAAAATTAAGTAATTTGAAATTAGAACTATTAATTAAATAATAACAGGTTAAAAATGTAAATAAAAAAATCGAAAAGACAAGATTCAAAATTTAAATATCTTCGTATACTTTTATGTTATAAATATATATAAATTTCCAACTAAAAAAACAAAAACAACAAACTTAAATGAGCCGACTTTATTCATATCATCTTATGATTATATCGAAGTACTTCAAGACTATTGAAGACTTTATTCATTTAGAATTTGTATCAAAGAAATTTGAAGACAATATGGCAAAGTTTCATTACAATCCCATTCCTCTAACAATAAAAACAAGAAAGTACTTTCCACACCTTCAGACCATTTGTTTGTATTCCGTCGAAGATGAAATTTTTGATGATGACGAAGTGTTTTCACGAAGTGTTGAGTTTGTAGTTTCAACATCTGTTGCTCTTCAAAATAGAAATGCAAACATCACTTACAAAAATGTTCACTTTACTGAGAAAGACAGTGAAAAATATGTTGATATCCCACACAATGCACACATTAAAGTTGTTGAAAAAGTCCCAAATTCGCCAGTGCCTACATTTTCGTCGTCACAGTTAAAACACATTATCATTCCAGAAGGCGTCACTGAAATAACAAACCGCGCATTTCCTACAAATTATGACGGCACAATATCACTTCCAAAATCACTCATAAAACTCGGAAAGGAAACTTTACATTATATAGAAGTAACAACTCTAACATTACCAACAAATCTTCTTTTCATTGGAAATAATTGTTTTAATGGAGCGGCTTTGGAAAAAATAGAAATACCTGAAAGTGTGATTTCGTTAGGAGACAACTGTTTTAAACATTGTGAAGACTTGGAAGAGGTGATTTTATCTCAACGTTTTTTGAATGATAAAAAAAGACTGGGACTCGGAAAATTCACAACACAAGCGATTAATAATGATAGAGTCACACTAACAAGAAAAGTGTTGCATTATGAATAACATTTTTAATTGTTTTTGTTTAATAATATTGTATAATAATTAGGCTTCGCACACAACAATTTTATTATTATAAATTAGTATCTAAAAAAGCTAATAAAACGGGAAAGAAATATTGACCCGTTTTATTAGTGTTTTTAGATACTAATTTTTTATAATAAATTTCTTGGGTGCGAAGCCTAATTATTATACAATATTTCATAATTTTTATTTCTAAATAACAGTGAATATATAAAAAATTTTAATAGTAATTAATGTAATGTAATTAAATGGATGAATTCAAAATTACAATTAAGTTATTTATTGACATGTTTATAAATATTACTTCAACTATTCTATTGTTTAAATGGACAGGAAAAATTAAGTAAAGTGATTCTTTAAACCGTGCAACTTTGACGTGTCAGTGCAACTTTGTTTATAGTATAATTATAATAAAACAATTATATGTTTTTAAAAACAAAACAAGAAAACAAACAAATTTCTTTAAAACTATTACTTTAATTAAAATACTATAACTAAATTATAACTAAAGTTGCACAAATCTTCTCAATTAGTTATTTGGGTTGCACCATTCAACCATCTCGTGTTTACCTAATTTTGCAGCGAAAGAGTCTTTGAACCACACGAATTTGCTTGTTTTCAAGTTTTCGTTTTATTCACTTAATTCTTAACATCTGCACCATTCAAAATCAATATAAAATACTGTTTTATTTGTTTTGTATTACAATTGGAAATCTGGATGTTTAATACTTTTTATTGAAACAAGCAGTTAAATTCATCATCTAATTATCGAGTTATATTTTATGTTGATTTATAACATAATCAAAGTTTTTGTTTTTGTTTTTGTTATTGTTGAAAAATAGAGTTTCCCCTTTATTGAAAGTAAAAAACAAAGAAAAAATAAAGTTTCACACTTATTAGAAATTACTTTACGTATATAACAAATATTTAATATAAATAACATTATTTGTAAAATTTAAGATTATCTTAAATTTAGATAAATTCAAATTTTGTTAAGTGTGCTTAAAATTTCAAAAAACATAACAAAAAATATGTTAAATATGAATTATACAAATTATTTGTTTATATTAAATGAATGTATAGTTTATAGTTGATAATAAAATAAAAATTATATTATATAATATAGTAACAAATAATAAGTAACAATTTTAAATCACAAACATGTGTTCAGACTTTCCTATTAATCTCTTTCTACACATTTCATTTTTATTATTTTTAGTCCTTTAAAATAGTTTAATATTTTTAAAAGTCCACACAATATATGTTTAGTTTCAAGGAGATATATTTTAAGTATATTTTTAATTATATTTTTATTATTAAACAAATTAATCATTTAAAAAGCATTATTTAACTGTGTTAACAAATATAATATCACCAAAAAATAATAATACGAATATATACTCAATTAAATTTTTATACCAAAATGATTGATTATAAAATAATTGACAAATAATATAATAACAATTTTAACACTAATAATGTGATGTAATTTGGTGTTCCAAAATGCGTCTTTTTAATGTTTATTATTCATTTTGTATTTGATTTGGTAAAACCAAACTGTCAATATCAAAAATGTCAACTCTTGACAGTTATCACTGCATAATAGTTTCAAAGTACTTTAAGACTATTAGAGATTTCATTCGATTAGAATTTGTCTGTAAAAAGTACAAAGGCAACAAGGAGAAGTCCCATTAAAACCCAATTTCATTAACTCGCAAGACTTTTAAATACTTTCTAACTATTGAAACACTTCATTTGTTTGATGTTGAAGATGAGACTTTTGGAAATGGTATTATTGGAATTGTACAAAACTTAAAAAGGTGCTTTTTAGAAGTGAATAAAATGTTTTATGAAATTATTGTGTGGTTTAATGTTGATTATATCATTGTCGATAAAAACAAAGATCGTAACTTTATTTTCAAATGTGTGACATATACAAAAACGGATCGAGAGAAGTTTGGAAATGAAATATTTGATTGTGTCACATCACTTGGTGAATATTGTTATTATAATTGTGACGAATTGAGCAGTGTTAATATACCATCAAGTGTTACATCAGTGGGTAATGGCTGTTTAAGTCGTTGTATAAATCTTAGTGCCATAACACTACCCAAAGGTGTCACAATGTTAAATAGTAACTGTTTTGAAGGGTGTAAAACATTGAGTAACATTATTATACCTCTTCAAGTCTTAAATATTGGTAACTGTTGTTTTAGTAAATGCACTAGTTTAAGTAGTATACATGTCTCATCCAATGTCACATCATTTGGTCACAATTGTTTTAGCGATTGTAACAGTTTGAGCAGTTTAGAAATACCACCAAGTGTCTTAAGCATTGGAAATTTCTGTTTTTTGGGATGTAACAATCTTGGTAGTTTGAGTGTTCCATCGAGTGTAACATTTATTGGTCACAACTGTTTTAATCGATGTGTTAATCTCGTTAATGTAACATTGTCTGTACAAGTCACATCAATTGAACATGACTCTTTTTATAAATGTAGCAACCTTAAAAGTATATTACTCCCAACTTGCGTTTCAATAATAAAAGAATGCAGTTTCTGGGGGTGTAAAAATTTGAGAACAGTACATGTATCATCGAGTGTAACATCCTTTGGCAATCACTATTTTTATAAGTGTTATAATCTAAATAAAATAGTAATACCGGCTGGAGTTGAAACTATTGGTAATAGTTGCTTTGAAAAATGTAACATGCTAAGCATAGTAATTATACCAACCAGTGTTAAAACAATTGGTAATAACTGTTTTCAAGAATGTGTTAATCTGGAAAACATTGATGTACCATCTAATGTCACATCAATCGGTCAAAACTGTTTTTCAGCACACACTAAAGTTTATCTGAAAAAAATTGAATTGATTTTATTAATTGAATTTGTGTGAGATTGTGGTATTAACTATTTTAAATACATTAAAGAAAATAGAATAATTGTTTGTGTTAAGTTGTCTATATTTGCGAGATTTGTGAGTTAATTATAACACAAATTGCACAATTGTAAGTATTTTATATAGACAACGAACATAATAAATATTTAATTATGAAATACTTGAAATATTTAAAAATTCAAAATATGTCAAATAGTATAATTGAGTTTACATTTTTACTTATTTTGAATAAGATTTTGTTTTAAAAAGATATGGTAAAATTGAGTATTTTTTTAAATAATTTTAACTTTAAAATAATTTTAATAATTAAAAAACTTGATTTTAATATATTATAATTAATTTAAAATTGTTGAACATTTACAAATACAATGAAACAATGGAATGTGAATTCACCAAAAAAAATTTTTTTTATTTACCAAAGATGAAATCTTTTATATAGCTTCTGTAAAACAAAAGGAATTTTAAAAAAATCTTTGAAATTTGAGAAATATATTTTAAGTTAATGTTATTTGGTTTTAAAAAGAAAAAAATGCCGATTTACATAAGAACAAAGTCTTTTAGTTAATATAATTACAGTCAGTCTTTAAACTTTATCTAGTCTTAAAAGTTATCTGGTACCTTTTGGACATTATGGATTGGAATATTTCGGGAAGCCTTCCCTGAAACCCATCCCATTTGTTTCGGGTTTTTTCACGCTTAACCTAATGCCCGATTTTTAGACAAAATTAAAGCTATTTTATGTCCGATAGATAACTTTCGAGACCAGATAATGTTAAAATACTGACTCTATGAACTTTTATTTTAAATTTTGAAACATTAAAAACAACAACCCAATTATTTGAAATTGATAAGATACAAGAAGGATAAAAAACCGCTTCTGTCTTTTTAACCGCTTCCTATCGATTTAATAGTTATTTAATAACATTATAATAAAAAGTATAATACAAATTACCACCTTGAACAGAAAAAGTCTCCACGAGGCATATTCAGCCTTCATGATAAACAGTACTATACATTTTATTATATTAATATTATTAAAATCTATAAAATCAAGTGGAAGCGGTTTTTTAGCCCCCCTGTAATGTTATTTTGAGTAATATTGTACATTAAGTTTTTATTTACTATAGATTCTAAACTCTAAAATTAAGTGACGATTTACAATCAAATGAAAACAACTATGATTGCTGATAGAATACTTGTATACTTCCTTATTTGCTACTGTTGTTGTATAGAATTACCAATAACGTCTCTTAGTGGAGATCAGGTGTTTGAAATCAATGACGGACAAACATACACATCAGGATATGAAATTACTTTAAATGACAACTCACAATTCATTATATCCAATTACACAACACTCATATGTAACAACAAAATATTTTTGAATAACAACTCCACACTCATAATAAAAGATAACTCATCATTTTTTGTCAACGAGAATTTGTCGATGAGTGCAAAGTCCTCACTTGTTGTTATGAACAGTTCATATATTAGGGCAAATAATTTAATACTCAAAGAATCATCAAATATCAAATTCTATGACAACTCAACGTGTAACCAATCAAAATTCGATCTTGTTGGAATTTCATTGGTTGAGCTGAATGGTGCATCGAAGATTAATGCAAACGAATTTAAAATGGCTGGAAATGCCAATGTTATCTGCAAAAATACAACATATTTTCAAATAAACAGTTTCACAATTGATGGTAATGCCAGTTGTACATTGATTGGAAGTTCTATTTTTTACTCTTCAAATACCATCGAATTTAAAGCAAATAGCCAAGTCATTCTTTTCGACAATTCACTTTTTAGATCAGAAAACGAAATTAAAATATCTTCTACAAAAGGGGCTGTGTTATATAACAATTCAAAAATGTTTGGTAGTAAAAATTTTGAAATTAAAGGATCGTCGTTTGTGGAGTTGAATTCGAATGCTGGTGTAGAGACTGGTGGGGATTTTAAAATCAATGAAAATTCAAATTTGTATTTACGAGGAGAAAATGACCAGAAGGTTGTCATTTCTAAGAAACTAATTTGTGACAATGGCGTTTTAACATCATTTGGTAACTCATACATTTCTATAAACGATGAATTGTCACTTGGTGGTAATTGTAAAGTTAATTTTACAGCACGGACTATACGTGATATCCCTTTCTTTCAAGTAAATAAAGTCAGTAACTTTTCTGGTACAATATTGGCTCATGACAATCAATTTGATATTGCCTTTGCATATCCTGATCAAATAATAACAGGTATAACAACTAATAATGATGTCAAAATGGTACAAAACAATCGATTGGCAAGATTTGGCGATTCCACAAAGATATTTTGCCATTTGGGGATGTCGAGTCCGGGAGATGTTGAATACATTGAATCGTATTGCCCATGTAGTGGTGTTGACTGTTATATAACACCACTGAGTTCTGTCACATCTTTCAAAGTTGACATTGCAAGTGATGTTTTGCAAACTAAAAAGTCTTATGAGATAGGAAACACTTTTAATGAAGTTGTTGTTTTGGGAAGTAACAATTTATTTTCTTTTGCAAAAACGGACGGTGTAGTCATGTATTCCAACAACAAAAACAGTGTTTCTATTCAGATGAATGAAATGACCAAAGAGGTGCTTTTCATATCAAATTCTTCGTTTTTAATTTCACAACAATTTAAACAAACATGTAATTACTGTTATACAAAGAATGGAGATGTGACTTGCAATAATTGTACCAATGAATGTCCAGATTACAAATACAATGCAACTGGGAAAGAGTGTTCTTCTTGTCAAGACCTAAATTGTGAGAGTTGTACAATTGGTGTTGATGTCTGTCTGAAGTGTGGTGGTGGGTATTACTTAATTAATGGCAAATGTGACACAATTCCACAATGTCAGTTGATTCAAGTTAATAGATGTCGAAAGTGTGATAATGGTTATATATTGAAAGAGATGAAATGTGTGACAGTAGATAATTGTGTTGATGAGAAAGTTGATGGAAGTTGTTTGATTTGTGATTATAAAGACAACACAGTTAATATCAATGGAAATTGTGAACACGTTGACAACACCAAAATCGTTCATCAAACTGTTATTTCGTGTGAGAGTGGCTTTGTATTAAACAAGTCCCTCTGCAACAAATGTGATTCAACTTATCCAAATTCTGTGTTGTGTGAAAATGGAAAAACAACAAAATGTGATGACAAAAGCAAAATGAGTTTAAGTGGAACTTGTGAAATTGATTCCTGTGTGAGTCCAAATGATGAAAATGGGAAGTGTACACCTGAAATAGATGGCTGTTCGAAATACACAAACACACGATGTGTAGAGTGTCAAAGCAATATGATTCTTTCTCAAAACACGTGTATACAAAAAGAAGTTAATAATTGCACACAAATGAAATCAACAAAATGTGTGAGATGTGAAGATGGTTATTACATTGATGAAACGACGAATGGTGAATGTTCAAGTTGTGATACAAACTGTAAGACGTGCATTTCCAACTCAACTTTCTGTCTTTCGTGCAACGACAAACAGTTTCTGAGCAATCACAAGTGTCTAACAAATGAAGACCTGGAAAATGTATGCACGCAGTTTGTGCCATCAGGTGGGTGTGTGAAGTGTATTAATGGTTATTACAGAAACGGACTTTCATGTGAGAAGTGTGACGTCAAATGTGGCACTTGCAACAACAAAGAAATGTGTTTGATGTGCAATGAAACAAATTACAAAACAGCAAATAATGAATGTAAACCACAAAGCGACGTTATTGGGTGTAAAGTGGAAGTGACACAAAATGGGTGTTTACAGTGTTCTGATGGGTATTACACAGTCAACACAAATGAATGTGGAAAGTGCGATGAAAGTTGTTTGACATGTTTGTTATTAAACAACAAGTGCACGTCTTGTGGTGACACACAAGTTTTGGTAGACTCAAAATGTCTTAATGTGTCTGCAATTAGTAATTGTAATGAAGTAACCAAATCAAAATGCTCCAAATGCACTTTTTGGCACGTTCCCAGTGATGATGGCACTTATTGCAACTCGAAAGCTGTTTGGTGGGTCATTCTGATTATCGTTTTATTTCTACTTTTAGTAGTTATTATAGTAATTATTCTTATTATGATATTATTTAATTATTTATTGCAACGCAAACACGAAAAGAAACTTGAGAAGACTACGACTCTATTCTCAATGAATAAATCGAACATTCAGTTTGTCCGTTTGCCGAGTGGTATTTGTATCTCTCCTGATCAAATTGATTTGAATTTGGAAGTCCAAGAGCTACCAATTGAGACCGAAACGAAAGTCTTATTTTGTGTTGGGAACACCAAAAAGATGAGTCTAAAAGTCCAATTTTCACTGAAAAGTGATGTCACAAAATTTACAATGAAGTGTTCACCGGATATAGTGACTCTTAAGAAGGGTTTTGCGTGTGAATTTAGCATTGGTATTACTCCAATTTGCACTTCTAAAATCGACACAACACTTCTTGTCATTTCCAAGTCACTGAAAGATGGCAAAGAAAATTACAATGAAGTCAAAATGGTTGGGGTCACTGCCCAATCCAGTCGAATCGACCCAGAAGAATTACAAGAGGAGAAGATACTTGGCGAAGGATCGTTTGGAATTGTCGTCAAAGGCACATTCAGAAATAATACCGTCGCTATTAAAAAGATGAAAGAAGTTTCTAATGAGAAAGTTGCAATGGCTGAATTTACAAAGGAAGTTGAGATGTTGGACAAATTTAGGAGTGAGTATATCGTCCATTTCTATGGCGCTGTTTTTATACCAAACAAAGTGTGTATGGTCACTGAATTTGCACCATTTGGGTCGTTACAAGACTTAATTAGCAAAAGAAAGTCGAATGAGGTTAATATAAAATTGAAGATCAAATTTATGTTAGACGCATCAAAAGGTCTTTTGTATTTACATGAAAATGGAATATTACACAGAGACATCAAACCAGACAACATTCTTGTGTTTTCTTTGGATTTGAACGACACGGTGAACGCGAAATTGACGGATTTTGGGAGTGCGAGGAATATTAATTTGATGATGACTAACATGACATTCACTAAAGGTATCGGGTCACCAACTTACATGGCGCCTGAAATATTGAAGAAAGAACATTACAAGAAACCGGCTGATATATTTTCGTTTGCTATCACCCTGTATGAGTGCTTTGGATGGTGCAATGCATACTCAGAAAAAGAGTTCAAGTTTCCATGGAAAATAGCTGAGTTTGTCACAAGTAGTAAAAGACTTGAAAAATTAAGTTCGATGTCTGAGGAACAATTTGAATTAATCAATATGTGTTGGAAACAAAATTCAAAAGAACGAATAGAAATCCAAAAAGTTGTTATTTTGATAAATGGGTTAATTGATAATTAATATTATTTGTTTTGTGTTTGTTTTATATTTTATTAATTTGTGTCAGGTTGTTTTGTGCACAAAGTTGGTCTTAATAGATTATAAACACATTTTTATTTATAAACTGTTTAATTATTTTATTTATTAATTACCATTTTATGACTATTTAAACGATAATGAGATATAACCAAATTAATGAGAATAATAATGAAACATTGAAAAAAGTTGGAAATAACAAAGGGTATATATATCATTTTAAGATAAAAATATCATTGATTGACAAATTTTTGAATGGATATGTTGTCCACTTACATGGTTCTGTTTCTTAAGCGAGTAAATTCTAACTTACTAAATTTGCACAAAATATTTTTTTGAAATAACTAATAAAAAACAATTCAAAAAATGACACATTTTTTAATGTGAGTGAAATTATCGTTGAAAGCAATAAAAGGCTTTTTTAATTTATTAAATATTACATTTTACTCGATTTTATTACGCCGAACAACTTTTTATTGTTTCGCATTGACAATTCAATGGATGTATCATTTTTACTAATTAAATTATTAAGGTTTAAATTATGGTTTTCATGTTTTAAAAAACATTTCTTTTTTATTGAAATAAGTGAAATGAAGAGTAAGTTGAAAAATATCAATCATATAACAAAACAAAATAAAAATAAAAAGAAGAATAAAGTCATTTGCTAAAAGTTGTCTGGTCTGAAAAATTGCCTGAAGATTTTTAGACCATTATAAATGGAATATTTCGGGCATTTTTTAAAAATTCCAAAAACATAAAAAAACTTTAGTTATGAAAGTATTACTTCAAAAATTGAACAATGAAATCAATTTCTAAACTGTATATCTTGTTATTGATTTGTTGTCATTACTGAAATCACAATTTTTAAACCAATTTCAACATTCAATAATAAAATTGTTTTAGAATAATTGAATGTTACGAAACAATAGTGTAATAATTATATTAAAATATTATGCCTATTAATTTAGGCATATTATTAAATATATTTGTATTATAATAATTATAATTAAAATAATTATAACTAATAGTAATTTCAAAATAGTATAATAATAATTTAGTTTTAAAATAAATAATAATAATTAACAATTTATTTATTTTTTTGATATTGATTTAATAGTATATTATAACTTCAATTTTATATATTAATTAATTTATTCATCCTTTTCGTTAATTAAAAAAATATGTTAATTGAAATTTTTATCATTTCTTATAAAAAAAGTTTTCGATGAATGCCAAAGATTTTTACAAAATAATGAAAAAATAGAAAAAAAAAAACATTTGGTATAATTAAAATATAGTAAAAAAAACCTTTTAAAATGGTTGGTCACTTTCAATTTTTCTTATATTTTTTTAATAAAAACAATTATAAAGTATAGTTATTGTTATTGATTTCAAAGATGACTGGAGAAATTTGAGATTTGTGAAAAGAGAAAGCTAATAATAGTCGAATCAAACACCAAAACATTTCAATCTCCAGTAAAAAACCATAAAAATAGTAAAACAAATAATAAAAAAAATGAAACAACTACCAAAGTAACCAATAAACTATACCGAAACTATACACAAATTAGACAATTACTAAAAATGGGATTGTTCTCACATTTTAAGATTTAAAGCAGAGTTAGAACTCAAAAGTTAAGAATGGTTGAGGAAAGTATAAAGAACAAGGCATGGGTGCGTATCCAAGAGAAGCTCTACATGTCCTGGATGAATGAAGTACTAGAGAAGCGGAACATGGAAGTGACGAATTTATTATTAGATGTTGCCGATGGTATTAAATTAATTAACTTTATCGAGGCCTTATCGAATTTAAAGATCGAGGGGTACATCAAGAAGCCCAACAATCGGATCCAGCGAGTTGCCAATGGGAACAAGTTCTGTGAGTTTATTAAGTTCCAATTGAACTTCCCGAACCCTGGTTGTTTCCCTGAGAACATAGTTGATCTTGGCACTGAGAAAGCTGATAATCGGAACTTATTAGGACTTCTCTATCTTCTCTTTAGAAGGTATCGCCTTGATGTTATAAAGAACGAGGAAGGCACTGAGAAAGGTAAAGAGAAGAACAATGCCCTTTTAGAATGGGTGAAGAAGATAGCTTCTAATTATGGACTTGAAGTCACTGGGTTTAAGTCGTCATTCAATGACGGGAAAGTCTTTTTAGCACTTGCCCATTACATTTCCAACAAGAGTTTTGACTATGAAGAATTTAAAGAGAAGCCGACGGAAGAAGTTTTAGATAAGGCATTCACTGTAGCACAAGAGAATGGAATCCCAAGAGTCTTAGAAATCACTGATGTCACTGAGAACATCTTAGAAGCACGTGGATACGAGATGTACGTATCTCTCTTCCACAATGAATATACTAAGAGACAACAGATAGAAGCTTTAAAGGGAACCTTTGCGAAGAGCCAGGAGCAACTTGCGATGGAAGCGAAGAGTCAGGAGGACTTAGTTAACTTGAACGTGGAACTCTCGAACACGCGAGACGAGTTAAAAAGTACAGTTGAAGGACTTGAGAAGACTGCGGAAGAGAAGAAGAGCGAATTAATAGAACTTCAAGTGAAAGGGACGAGCTTGGATGAGTTAATTAAAGAGAAGAAGGAAGTCTATAATAAAGTCGAGATGAGTAAAAATGAGAAGGAAGTTGGAGCGAAGTCAGCGGAGGAGGTCTACGAGACGAATATGAAGAAGATTGATGAGAATAAAGACATCAAAAAAGACGACGACGATGAAATTGACTCGCTGAGTAAACAAATAGAAGAGACGAAGAAGAGAATTGAAGAGGTCAAAACTCTTTTGGAGAATATGAGGAGCAAAGAAGCTGAATCGATGGCGTCTAAATACGTCGAAGCGCAGAAGAAGTGCGACGAGATGAATAAGAGGAAGTGCGAAGTCGAAGAGGAGATCGAAGAATTAGAAGAGACTTTGAGTAAACGAAATGAGAAGGTCTCAATGATGGAAAATGAGTTGGATATCGACAAGGACAATTTACTGAGAGGAAATACTTTACAGGAACTGTACTTGAACGTTGCACCTGTCGAAGAGAACTTGAGAGAACATATCGTCAACCTCCACAAGTGGGCTCCTTATATGAAAAACACAGAAGGATTCGGAAATGAAGACGAAAAGGTCAAAGAATTGGATAAACAAAAGGAAGGTAACTATAAGGAGGTCTTAAAGGCGCTCGCTACTGATCTAGAAGGAGAAAACGACGAACTCGGAAAGGTACTTGTCGAAGTCAAGAAAAATCAATTGAAGAAACAAACTAAGAAGCCTACTATGAAGAAACCGACAGTCAAGAAATAAAAATTCATTGCTTTGAGAAGTTTGGGTTGATGAAATCGATTATATACTTCTTAGTTAATTGTTATTAGATATTTATAATATTTATAATAATATTTATAATAATATTTATAATAATATTTATAATAACATTTATAATAATATTTATAATAATATTTATAATAATATTTATAATTATATTTATTACATAATTTATTATACTATTAATTATATTGTTATTTTTATTGTTTTTTTAATTATTATTTAAATAATATATTTTATTAAATAACTTTATACTATATATTTATTATTAATTACTATAATTTAAATTAAAATTATTAATTAAAATTTGTTATTCTAATAATTTTCATTCAAATGAACATTTGTTATATAATCAAATTATTTTCATTTTAAAACTGTTTGTTTAAAAGTTATAAAATGCACACGGTGGGGTTCGAACCCACGAATCTTTCGAAATTGGTGCCTAAAACCAACGCCTTGACCACTCGGCCACGTGTGCTTACTTATATTATCTATTTCCATTTTATTGAATCCATCTTAAGATATACTGTATTATTTTTTTT